TTTTTTTATGTCTAAAATCTGGATATAGATATCAAAAAATCTACATTTTTATAAAAAACATAGATTTTTAAAAATATTTATTTGTGTTACGGATTAATTACTTTACTTGCATTCAATGTTTTAGAATTTCCTAATCTTTATTGCTAAATAAAATTGTGTTTTTACACTAAATATGTGCATAATTTTTTTATAGTCGATACTTTAGTATTTAAAATTTAAAACTTCAAGCCATATTTATTTTCAAATAAATAATTTATAATTATGATCATATGTGTACAATATAATACATGTAAATTTCTAATTATCAACAACAGTTATATTGAACATTATTATTTCTAATATAATTATAAAATATTAATGAATTTGTTAAAATGATATAAATATGTTACATATTATATTTATAACCTATAAGTTAAAAGTTCAGTCATCCGATGAAATGCTTTTTGTTACGTTTCTTGAAACTCATTGAGATTTTTTAGAGAAATATTCATAGCTGTTTCTGTAAACGCAAAACGTTTATAAAAATATCATGATATATAATATTATTATACATATATGTATATTATACAAAAATATACATATCTGTAAAAATTACACTTAATTAAGTGTTGCATTGATTTTTTAAATAAATGAATTGCATTTTTATACTATTTGTCGATATATGTTGTTACGAATATGATACAGTAACATATTACATTCAGCGTATATTCACCAACAAACAAATTCTAAGTTATTTACAACTGTATTTCTCAAGAAATTCGTCATGTTTTCATCTTCCTCGGTCAGGATCTCGACAAACTACTCCAATATATTAAAATGAAATGTGGGAGTTAATATCTTTCGCCGTGAATGCCACTTCCTGATTAAAATACAGACATATATAAAACGATGCATATTTATGACGTACCATTTGATTTAATTTTCGTATTGTTTTGTTATAATCACTGATTTTTTTTTTATTTTAAATTTTCTTTTGATGCGTTTTTGAAGTTTGTTATAAGAAAATGTGTAATAGTTAAAATATAATAGACAAAGAAATCTCTTTAGATCTTTAATATCTTTTTTATAACATTGATATAATATATTGAAATATTTATATGAATTTAATTGTTAATATTATTAAAGATTACATTGAACAACAACAAAAATTGTTTTTTAAAAGGATGGAAATGGATATGTATATAAAAAGTAACCCTATTATACATGAAATTAAATTTATTTCGATTGTTAGTCCTCTATAAAAGAAAAATTTTCATTATTTAATTTTATTTCATTATTTCATTATTTAATTTTAAAAATATCTTAAATTGAAACTTATATTATGATATTTTTTAATCATTTTATATCATTAGATTGACTTTCAGAGTTGCACAAAAATATAGGAAGCGGCATTCGATTTTACAAAAAAAAATTTTTAAATGTTATAAAAAGTCATCGATATCGACACGCTATGAACAATATTTTTGAACAATATTTCTTAATAAAAGTCAGAAATA